TCCCGGGGGGCAGAGTACGGTTCCCGGTACTCAAAAGGGGGGGGAATGAACAATTAACAGGGTGGGAAAACCCAATTAAAATAAAGGGAGAGGGGCCCGGGATTTTTCCCAACACTTCTTATCACTTTGGGAGTGACAGGGTTACATTTAAAGCATCGAATTTGAAAAAGGGGCCACACAATGCACTTTTAGATCTGTAAACCCGGCACAACTTTCCGGGGAAAAAAAAGGCTTGAACTTTGCATACCCCGGGGGGGGGAGATTATTGCACTATTTTTAAACCGGGTAAAACCACCACAAGGCTCAAGCCCTCAGGGAATCATTTTTGGGGCCAATTGGGGGAAGGAGTATTTTAATTAAAAAAAGGCCCCGTTTTTTTTAAATCACTATTTTTAACGAAAAATTTTGGGCAGATAAAAGGGATGTGAAATTTTGGGGTTGGCCTTTTTTGGGCCCAGAATCTTTATATTTTACCAAAAAACTTTTATGACCCCGGATTTTTTGTCGGGTTTCAACATTAAGAAACCCCGGCTAAAATATCGCATAAAAGTACAAGCCCCCAAGGCAAATTTAAAGCGATTTCAAAATTTAAAATAATAGCTAATCAAAGGATGCAGAAGCCAACCTTTTAAGAACCAACAAAGGGCCCTTTTTTAAAAAAACCCCCAAATTTAAAAAACAAAAAAAAACCCGGAAAAAATTAATAACAAAACTAGAAATAAACGGGCTTCCCTTGAATCTATCAAAACAAAAGCAAAAAACACAGAACGTGTAAAGGGGCAAAAGCAAAATAAGCCCCTAATTTAAAATTTTTCCCTGCACAGTACATTACACGAAACAAAGTACTGAATTTAGTAATTTATTCCCTTTTTCTACCTTTTGGGGGGACCCTTTTTCTACAAAAAAAACAAACAAACAAACAAAAAACAAACTAAAAAAACAAACAAACAACATACAACAAACAAACAAACAAACAAACAAAAAACTAGCTTATTTGAAGGGGTTTGTGATAACCCTGATCTGCTCCAAGGGAAAAGGACCTCGTCCCCAAAAACTTCACGGGGGGGAATTTAAAAAAGTTTAAATCCCTGGGTCACTTTGCGTTCAACATCTTTTTAAAAACCCTTTTTACTCTGACAGTAGATAATTCAAACTGAGAGGGAAACGGGGCCTTTAAAACCGGTCCAAAACCAGAAGATCGGCTAACCGTAAAGGGGGAACCACGTAAACTTCTACAGGGGTTTCTGACCCTGTAAATTTTCTCACACACCCTTTTTGGACGGGATTATCTGAGATTTTGGGGGCCCTTTTTCCCGACCGGGCTGGTGAGTCGGGCATTTTTAAAAGGGTGCGGGCCCAAACCGCTCTGTTTTCCCCCACCACGTCCCCCCCGGGAAAACACCCACCTGTACTTCATACCTACGCTGGCGATGTTTTACCCCATTTTTTACATTTGAATTTAAAAAGGATATAAATGGGTTTTAGGGAAATTTTTGGTTTCTTTTTTTATTGTGAAACATTTCCCCGATCCGACTTTTTCCCAATTTTTGGGGGAAATAAAGGGGGGCCAAAAATTATCTAAATTACCCCCAACCCTTTTAAAATTTCTGGCCCCTCCACCCCCCCCCTCCCCCCCCCCCCCCCCCCCCCCCCCCCCTTTTTTTTTGCTGGCACAAATTTTAATACTCCCCCACGGATGTCGAAATTTTGGGAAATGCCCCCAAAAAAAATTTGAAAAGTGCCTTTTCCATAGCCCCGAAACATTCCTTAAGGAGAAAAATTTGAATCCAAACATCACAGATAAACTAGAAGTCAAAAAAAACCGGGGGAAGTTTGTAAAAAATTTGGGTTCAAACAAATTATAATAACGGATCTAACAATTCGAGAGAGAGGAGGCTAATATTTCGCTTTACCAGGCAACCCCAATTCGTCACCAGGGGTAACTACCCCACACCATACTTTCCCCCCATACCATGGAAACAAATACTAAACGACACACTTAAAATACTTCTAACAAAAAATCCCATAAATCCAACTGTTTGAACCCGGGGCGGCTGCTATATTTTATATTTTCCCCTATCACAATGCTCGCAACTCCGTAGCGGGGGGCTTCCTGAATAAATACCTTGTACTTGATTTGGTGTCACCCCTTTATGGGCATCACTGATATCAAAATTTTTCCTTTAAATAAACCACTGCCCAATATTTTTGTATAAATATTATCGAAAAGTACCCTACACTATAGGTTTTTTAAAACTTTAACCCGGGGGTTTTTTTTCTCTAAAAGGGAGTCAGTTATCCCAAAAGGACAAAGGACGCCCACCCCGGGGTTTTAAACCCAAATATAGAAAAAGAACTGCTTTTTGGGGCTGGGAAACCTGGGGGAGAATTTCACGGGACCACCTTAAGACAATTCATACCAAAAACCTTAGCGTTTTAAACAAAACAAATCTTTTTAAAAACCCATCTTTTAAATTTTGATGACAACAAAAAAATAAAAATCGTAAAAACCGACTGATGGCATTTCAAAGGGAAATTATTTTTTAAAAGCTCTAACTCCCCCAAAATCATTTTTTGGGACCGACTTTTTAAAAACCATTTAAACCCAAAAAAAACCCAATTTTTTTTCCCCCAAATAAGCAATAAAAATTATTGAAGAGGTTTTCTCAGATAAATTCCTTTAATAAGGGGGTTTTTTTCCATGAAAAAACAAAACCCTTTATAGGGTTTTTAATTCTCAAATCACACCTTGCTTAAACCAAAAAATTTTCCAACATAAAAGAACCAAATCCAAAAATTTATTTACCCTCATTTGGGCAAGCGGCAAAAGATCACGAAGCCTTCTTATTAAAATGGGACACACTTTCCAGAGTCGCACAGATGGATGCGTGGTGCGGATAAACAAAAACACGGGGGTTACCGTGCCCCGGGTAACTGGAGATTTGGGGGCAGCACTGAAACCTTTACAAAACCCAAACCACGGGTTCGCAACGGATAGAAACGGGATTTTAAAAAGTTCTTGTCTGAGGTAAACATGAGGGCAACTTTTAACCATGGTAACGGGTTTACACGTTTGGGTTCGCCCTTTCGTGGGTTTGGGCACCTTTTTTCTTGGGCCGATTCCGGGTCGGGGGCAGTCCCCGGGATCCAGTCCTGGGAATGTCGTGCTCCCCTCGTGCCGCTAAATTGGTGGGGCTTATTGCTCCCTTTCCTCAAAGTACATCTCGATCTGAAATATGGTTTTAAAAAACAAAAATTTGGGACATGACAAAAAAATTGATACATCGACACTTATTCATATATTTGTTTATTTGAGGAATTCAGTATTATTCCACACACAGCCGGGAATGTTTGTTCAGGCCAAAAAACCCAACCCTTTAAAATCCCGGGAACGGGTTTTTTGGGTTTTTACCCTTTTTTAATTTTTCCCGTCTCTTTTGGGGAGTGAAACATGTACCCGTTTTTTTCTTCTCCAAATATGGCGCAGTCCCCCCCCTCCCCCCTGTTTTAGTCCGCGGGGGTATGAAGGGAAAGTGTTAGCCTAAATACACAGGGCCCCTCCTGAGGGGGGGGCGTGGAAAGTGAAAAATGAAAAACTGACCCATGGTTTTTTTGTGTGCCCCTTTTTTTAAACCCGTTTTTAAAAAAATTTTTCGCTGGGCGGGGGTTTTACTATGATTCCCTTCTTTGAATTTGTATATTGAATTATTGTATTTCAGGGGCAGGGAACCAGGGGCAAAATTTTAAAGGGGATTGGGGGCCCCTATCCCCACACATAGTATTTATTCCTTTTTTTAAACTACTCTTCTTAGGAAAGTACTTTCAAGACAGAACATTTAAAGATAGATGTAATTTCAGGGGGATTATTAAAAACCTGCAACCCAAAATTTTTGGGGGGAATACAAAGGGAAAATTTTTCTAAATTTAGTTAAAATGTTTTTGTGAATATTTTTAAACTTCAGGGCCCCCCCGCACACAGGTTTTAGGCTTACTGAAAACAGGGCTTTAGAGCGAATTCGTCTGAAATTTTTCTAGGGCGAGGAGTAGGGTTTGACAAAAGCCCCTGGTTTAAAATGAATGTTTTAAAACCCGAAGTTATTCAATTTAGTTCTCTGGGGAAATTCGAAAAAAACCATCTTTCGAAAAAAAAAAAGGGGGCAATTTTTTTAAAATTTTTCTGTATTTTTTCCCGGGGTGAATTTGTTTGGGGCAAATATGAAAATTAAAACCATACTAGAAGGGGCGAAATTTTCCCCGCTGGACAGATCCCGCCGTTCAAAAATTTTAAAATTTTCAATGAAATCAAATGTAGGTGTTTTTACAGCTTTTGCTTATCGGGAAATATTTACCTCAAAATCCTTTAGCTACACAAATTTGGAAAAATTGGTGCAAGTGAGATTACAAAAATATTTTTTTCAATGGGTTTATCCGCAGTGCCGTAATTTAAATGCCGGAAAATGGTCTAAGCAAGGGTCTGCCTTCTAATTAACCATCCATTCAACTTAATTGGTTTTTGGGGGTAAAAGTTTAAAATTTTGAAAAAGGGAAAAACCTGGGGAAAGTTTTTTAACTTCCTTTGGGGGGGCCAATTTCCGGCCCGGGTCAAACCCTTTTTAAAATTTTGTGCGGGGGGCAATTTCTTCCCAACTTTTAGGGGGCCTTGCCAAAACCGGGGAAAGGCATTTTTTTTCTTATACTTGAGCGCTGTTTTTTGGGGGACGGGGGGGGGGGGCGGAAAAGGGGGCCCACTCCTTCCCCCCAATAAAATTTAGAAATTAACCCCAACAAACGGTTTGTGGGGGGGCCAAATTAATTTTCCAAAAACTCCCCTTAACTCCCGCTAATAGTAAACCCAACCCCAAAAGCACTGTTTGTTCCCAAAAAAAAAAAAATCTCCATCCTTTGGGGGAGTTTGTAATTTTTATACACAACAATTCCGATAGCTTTCTTGGGCATTCACCCAAAAAACAAAATTTCCCAAAGACAAAACACATTTTAACTTTCTTTTTGAACCAGCCTGCGTGTAAGGCAGCTTGATAAGGTTTTATCTTCGTTAATAACAGCGTCTTGGCTTCGTATTTAAGTCCACGCCTGGATTAAAACGCTGTTAATTTCTAATTGACAATTTCCTTCTCTGCCACATCAATACACCCATATTACTCATAGTTGGCAATTCTTTGGGCGATTAATTGCTAATTCTTACTTACACATTGACAGGGAATAATTTAAAATAAACTCTCTGTATATTCTGAAGATATTTATAAGGAAGCAATAGCAGTACTTACATAACCAAGTCACCATAATAGTAGACATATCGACGCTGTGATGGAATCGTAACGCCCTGAAAATATGAATTATATATTTTATTTGAGTAGATTGACTGTATGCACATTCCAGTCCGGTATTTTTATACAATGTACGTGTGCAATGAATGATAACACAAAGATAACATTAGACTGCATTATTGAGATGTAAAGTGAGATGGAAAAGCTCAAAGTAAGATTTTGTGAAGGAGAACCATATTTGGGCAAAATATATTGAAAAAGTGAACAATCTATTTCCTTGAAATGGTTAACGCTACCACCATTATTTTGTTAAGATCAATCCACTCTTAAAGTAAATATTTTTTGCATCAAGAGGACTAGAGGAGTTAACATTTTCGTTAGATTTAGGATAATGTAACGATATGGAAATGAATAAAATGACAGATATGTAATACCTTCATGTCGAAGGTTCTAGCTTCGCCATAAAATTGTAGAGCAGGCTGGACGGTCTCGTATATTCCTTCATGTAAAAGATAAGATACTATCATAACTCCTGTTCGCCCCTGTGATTAGTATAATTAACAATTTAAGTGGTTATAATAATTATTTCATAATTTAAAGAAATGTGCTGAATTATTATATACAGATTCATTGTGCCCTTAGTTAAACTGAATACGGATATAACTTATATCGAGACTGTTTTAACGAATGGTTACAATAAAGTTATTGAAAATAACTCATTAAAAACCAGAAATTCTGCTTAACATGCTTAACATGCTTAACATGCCTGCTCCACTATTATGAATGAGTGGATTACAACTACATTCTCGCCAACCACAAGCAGTTAAAATAAAAGCCTGCCTACCTTTCCAGCTTTACAATGGATAACAGCTACATTTTCCTCGTCCTCCGCAAGGAAGTTAGCTACATCCTCACAGAAAGGTTTTATAAGCTGAAATGGCGGCGCGTTGTGATCCTCAAACGGGTAGTGGGCTACTTTTGGAAACCTCTTATTATCGTAAGTTCTCTGTCTTTCTTTACACCTGGATTGTGGTAAATTTAAAAACATCATACAATCGCTAGAAGTAAATTGATTTCTTGTAGTATAGTAGCAAAGCATAATTTTATCACACTTTGAATTATTTTCAGGCATGTTACAATGTAATATATCTTAATGTTTTGACTAAAGAAGTAAATAGATTAGGATTTTGGTGGAGAGGTACATTTTTCTGAAACGTGACAGCTATTAACCGATCAGCTTCCATTGACCAATCAAACCCTTGAATCACTGTCACGTGTTAACTAAATATGCTTCACCTCCCCAAAAATGTCAGAAATTTCAGAACAAAAATGAATTTCAGATTTCAAATTTCAAATATTTACAAATTACGTAAAATACTTACAAATTATAGATTTTATAATGATTGGCATGCTTTTCCTCAAAGAACCTGAAATGGAATATCATTTTACAATCCTTCTCAAAGATGGAAATTTCGAATCTAACTTCTCTCATAAGATTACCCAAACATCATGACAATTGACATAAATACAATGTAACAAAATCAAGGATATAATAAGAATATTACATTAAACTTGTTTAATTAATTTATTAAACTGGTTTCTAACTCACTTGTGAACGTCCTCTATGTTATTTCTGTAGAAACCTTCAAGGTTATTTGCAGGGAACCCCATGGCCACAATGTTGGGTTTTATGTACGCTAAGTCTAAGTTGTAGCCATCCTGTTTAAACCTTCTTTTCTTTTTTGAAACTAGCTCTTTTATTTTGTCTGTCATTAAAGCTTCGGGGATTGTTAATTAGCTTATGAGGAATACGTTATTTAATTTGAAAGTAAATTTATGTAATGAAGCTACTTTGGGATGATAATATTGTAAAAAAAGGGAGAATTCTCAGTTTTAAGAGCATGAATTTGAAAGGCAGGATGTCGAATTAGATCGTTTACGAGAAGTTTATGGTTGGTAAATAGAATGGTATATTTTCAGTAAATAGAATAGTAAATATTTGGTACACAACAACGAGATCATTACCAGGGTCAAAACACAATTATTCCAGGGCATATCAAGTAGGGTACAGTATATAACAAGTCTAAATAAGTTTGATATCAGAAATAGCAAATTTGATCAAAGTTTGACGTATGCAGAGTTCTCATAACTCATAATTCATCCCTCATTAAGTTTGTACTTTAAAATATGTCAAGGTATTAATTTCGACATGTCTGTCCAAATTACCAAGTAGGCCAACTTTTGTTCACCTGCCAAGGATTCCATCTAAATTCTCACTCAGGTGCTAATTTTGAGCTGTTGCAACAAGCTGGTACTGTCACCAGACTCTATATTATATATAACCAGATTGCCAGCTGGTTTCAGGCCTTTTCGGTAGTTGCAGTATTACGCTCTGGTGACTTGTTCCTTTATTGATATTATATTAATAAAGCAAAGAACTTGATCCTCCTTCAATTCTAAATCAGTGAACAAATTCATATCTGCTTAACTAGATTTTCTGCAACCAGAATTTAGGATAGCAAGTTTGATACTAATAAAAGTGCAAATATTTTCTAGTCTTGCAATAATTTTAATTGTATGCAGCCTAGGCAGCTGGCAGACAGTAGATTTTTGAGAGTGATATTTGGCTTGGCCAGGGGATAATTTTGTTTGACTAGTTAAAATTGCCACCCAAAAGAATCAAATCCCTACTTGGTTCTTATCAGTGAGCTGGTGCCAGGTGTAATAATTATTGCTGTATTATAAGTTACTTTGGTCTTTAGTTAAATGAGTTTTGCTATCTAACTAATATAAGGTTGGCAGCTAAAATCTTCAAAGTTCCGACTGCTGTGCACGTGCATGGCATCAGTTTCAGTAAATTAGGGTCTTATTACAAATTCTTAAGCAATTAAAATGGCTGATTATTAATCAGAGTATGTTATATGTAGTCAATATTGCTGCTGAAATTTCAGAGACCTGCAGCAGTTTCTTTTACCTCTGACATAAACTTTCTATTTTGATGTTTCAGTCCATCCATAAAGTGATTTACAAAATGACACCTAAACCTCGTGTTTCGGTGTTCACTTAAACGGTACTTGGCGGCTGAACTGTGGTGTCTGACGTTTGCAGCTAGATCGGACTCTGCATGATATTGTATTAGCAAATTTGTATAGTGTATAACTGTTTAGTGTTTATAATACTCTGCAACCTGGTAGCACGGCTGACACAAAAACAAAATGTTGGCCTGGCTTGTGCATAACCAAGTAAATAACACGCACTCCGATAAAAGCCGTCTGGAGAAACTCCGCAAAATGTTCATTGTAGTCAACGGGCACAAAGAAGCACTACTAGCAATTGTGTCCTTTACCCTCCTACATAATTTGAACATTTTTGTGGCTAACTCATTGAACAACATCTGAATTAAAATGTGTCTAGTATTAAAAGATTCAGTAAGTAATTTTTTCATGTACGCTGTACACTGTAGTTAGTAAATCAAATCAAACTTTTTCGATCAGCCGCGCGCTGAACCAGTGTTGCACTAGGTAAAAATTGTGTATATTTTGTTCATTTTTGACTACTACTACTATGTCGGAGCTAAGTCCGATCTACGCCAGAAAACCCCCTCCATATATCCCTGTCCCGCATCAGGGTTCGCAGTTCCTCTTTAGAGTTTGTCCCAACTTCCTTCAGTAACATAGACAAGTAGCTTTGTCTTGGTCGGCCTTGCTGTGCTCTACCGTGCGTAGGTTCCCATAAGACTAAATCACTGGCAAGTAGCTCAGGATGTCGGATGCAGTGTTCATTCATTTTTGAGTGTAAATTAATTTATTAATTTATCACAAATTATTTTATTATAATATAACCACTTATGTGAAATGGTTATTTTGACTTTAAATATTTGAACTAAATATGAATTGATTGTGGGTATAAAATAAAATTTGTTTTACTAAAAAAAAATTTGTTTTACTCAGTTGGCAAACTTGCATAACCGAGTATTCAAGTTACTATTTCAGTATTACAAGTTGTTGCTATTTCAGTTGCAACAACTTCAATAGCAACAACTATTTCAGTTGTTGCATAATCTGAGGGATTTAATGAAAGACTAACAACCCGACCCTTTGTAGCATAACTATGCAAACACTTGAAGATCACTGCCATGAATACATAGACCAGAACTTTTCCTACGGAACAAGAAAGTCTGACATCAACGACACCCGACCAATATTTCCCAGTCACCACTCAGCTGACACTACCATAGGAATATTGCTTGTTATTATTGGGAGCTTTTGCAGTATCTTTAACTCGTATCTGTTGGTCGTGTTATCACAAAGACGCAGATTTGGAGTTACTAGTCTGCTCATTCAGATAGCTTCAATTGATTTCATATCAGGTAATTATTCTTTAGTTTTAATAAATAAATTAGAATAGATAAAGAAGTTTCTGATTGAAAGTGCCATGATTATATATGCTTTCAATGAGTTGGGGTCTTTTCAAATTGAGGGGGTTTTCAGGGCTGTTGGCTTTGGTGATGGCAAAAAACATGCTGACATCTGGGAACCGTAAAGAATATTTGCACAACATATTTCTCAACATCACGCTATGCCAGATACCAGGTATAATGCAACTAATAGTGCTTTCTTATGAATAAGGTTACTAAAAGAACATGACATTGAAACAGATGTAAATAAGATATCATTAGTATCATGACGATTTAAATTAAAGTGAAATTTGCATGATGTGTAAATTGTTACATTTCTTATTTACCTTCAGGCATATTGTACCAAGTTTTCACAGTAGCTTTGCCCATTCTGCTAATGTATCTGACAATATGGCGACTCGTTGCAGTGAGTAAGCCACACAAGTATTGTTTGTATCTGGTACAATACAGAAGAGTGCACTACCTAGTGTTCACAACTGCATGGATGTTTGGACTTGCTCTTGGTAAATAATCGTTTTTCAACATATTGCGAAGATTCGAAATGAAGCACATGATTTACATAAATTAAATAATCAAAATACCACAAAGCATAACTTATCCCAATTAGTATAGCAGTATGCTAAAGATTACTACACGACACTCCATAAGTTATAACCTTGCCTCAGTAATGCAACTCTTGAAACAGTTTCTCTGTTCATGATGTACAATACAAATTGACTCACGTTAATTTTCAGGAATAATGCCCTTTGTTGTGGGGGAAAATATGTGCTACATACCAGAGTGGGCCTTCTGTGATTATCGAATAGCAGTTGTCATTGAGAATAAAGTTGTAAAACATATTGCAATAGGGTAAGATCAGCTTTACATTACTCCTGAAAATCTGGGCTGAAACATATTATGCAACTTTTAGAGTCTACTTAAAGTCATTTTAATAAGCAATAAATTATTATCATTTTAATAAGCAATAAATTATTACACTTTATTTCAGTGTGTTAACCCTGCTTCCAACCCTACCATCTTACTTTGTCATAGTTTGTGGCAGTTTGATCGTTTCTTACAAGCTTTTCAAGTTAAAGTCGGTGAAAGAAGAAAATGTTCCAATGAAGTCGGTGAGAATCACATACTAAAAAACTCAAATAAGCATTGACACAAAATTTTATTGAACTTACAGTTTTTTTTTTTTTTATTTGAAAATTCAATTAATTATTATATATACAAATCAAGCGTTACATTTCAGCCATGCAAAATTACAATGACATATTTTAATATTCTAATTGAAAAATGGTGCTGCAATATAAGTTGCTTGATGTTTGGCCGGATGACAATTAACTAAAAGAGAAAAATAAACTTGATTACATAATAATTAATTCGGCTGAACCAACACATAGCAAAAGCCACATTAACGTTGGGGCCGTCTACCAAATTTGAATGACATACAATAACAAGAAATCAAACATATCATAAATAATTATATATGGATTTTGTTCATTACAATTCCGTCACAACTGATAGAAGAAAAAGAAGGACAAGCAGATAGGAAATTGGACGGACAGAATTGTAACCAACAAAAACACATTTCTGAGACTAGTCTGGCCAGACTGTATCGGCAGCCCAGAGGTACTTGATCAGATTGGCCTTAAAAGTAGAAATCCGCTCTGACTGCCGGATACATACTGGTAGACTATTCCATTTCAGCATAGATCTATAAAAGAAGCTATTTCGGAAGGCATCCGAGCAGGGCACAGTGGTACTCATGTAAGTTGAAGTATCCGACCTATCAATTATTTGAGCATTGTGCCTAGTGTATCGGGTGCCCTCTGGACGGCATAGGACTATATAAGTAGGAAGCGAAACTGGGATTATGCTATTCACTATTTTATAGAAGGTCATAAGATCGTTATAAATAAACTTCTGCATGACAGGGAGAATATTTAGCTTCTTTTGCTCTGTAGCAAGTTTATCGTCATTATAACTGGAGTAGGGTTCACCATTGATCCATTTAATAGCCCTCTTTTGGATAGCAACAAACTGTTGAAGATGAGTTGCAGATTGAGGGGACCATATGACAGAACAATGTTCAAATATAGACCTAATTAACGCCAAATAGAACGATCTTTTCTGCCTTTTATCAGTAGTGAAATGACATGTTCTCTTAAGTAGTCCAAGTCTGGAGGTAGCTTTGGAAACAAGCGCTTTACATTGTGCACCCCAATTAAACCTGGAGTTTATTGCGACTCCTAAATCTGACTGAGAGGGCACAAAGTCAATATCACTTCCAGAAAGTTTATAGAAGAAGGTATTGAATGGCAAGTTATCCAGCACGTTTCTTTGCAGGGACACAGAGAGGGCTTTGCACTTTTGTGGGTGGAACTTCATTCGATTTCTCACTGACCAATCATACAATCTATTGATGTCATTTTGGATTATGTGATGGTCAGGGTAACCAAGAATCTCCCTCCAAATTTTAGTGTCATCTGCATAAAGGGCGATATTGGTGCCTTCAGAGACACAGGAGAACATGTCATTTATAAATATTACAAACAATAGAGGGCCAAGTATAGAACCTTGAGGGACACCAGACCGAACTGGTAGAGAGGAAGACGTTTGGCCTCCTATCACTACTTGTTGTTGTCGCCCCTCAAGATAGGACTTGATAAATTTAAGCATTAGTCCATCGACATTAAAAATATTCTTTAATTTACTTAAAATGAGGTCATGCGAAACGCTATCAAAAGCTTTCGCAAAATCAAAATATATTATATCAGTCCTGGACCTGTTGTTCAGTGCAAGTGCAAGATTGTCCGTGAAAGGTATCATTTGGGTTGTGCATGAACGTTCATTAACAAAACCGTGTTGTCGGTCATCCAACAGATCAGAACATGCAGCGTATAATGCAGTCTTTATGCACCTTTCAAAGACTTTCATTACAAGAGATGTTAACGAGATAGGCCTGTAGTTCTCAACCGAAGACTTATCGCCCTTTTTGTGCACTGGTACTACAAGTGCCAGCTTCCAATCAGGGGGTATGCATCCGCTTGAGAAAGACAGGTTAAATAAAACACTAAGTGGGTATGCAAGGCTTTGGGCACAGTTTTTGAGGACTTTCCCATGAATCCCATCAGGGCCAGGGGCCTTGTTAGGATTTAACTTTTTGAGAATCAACAGAACATCTTCTTTACTAAACACAAGACTGGAAAAACAATCATCACGAAAATCTATGTCAATGCCATAATCGCTCTCTTGAGAAAACTGCTCATAAAAATATTCGTTAAAAAGGGCAGCTTGATCAGATGGATTGTTTCGAAAGCGATTATGATATTTAACAGTTTCAGGGATCCTGGTTGACTTTGATTTAGATTTAACGTAGGTCCAGAATTTCTTGGAGATAAGAGCATCATCGGAGTCATCCTCAACACTGAGTCTCATTCTTTCGTCCATCATATTTTTAAATTTTGTTCGAAATGCACGAAACTTTTGTTTATGAGACTCAGAGTTGCTCCCTTTATGCCTTATTCTCCATTTCTCCTTATTTCGTAGGAGACGATCACATTCGGAGTCGTACCATGGGGGCTGGAACTGAGACTTAATGGTCTTTTTAGGGATCCATCGGTCACAGGCTGCATCAAGAACTCCTCTGAATCGACTCCAGGCAAGATAAGGATCATTACACTCAAATATACTATCCCAATCGATGCTAAATAACTCAGAATTCAGGCCCCTAAAATTACCTTTACTATAATTAAAGATCTTTCTTTTAGGCTGCTTAATATACTTGGTCTTAACATCAATGTCAAATGTGATACAAAAGTGGTCGGACATACACATTTCGTTTTGATCTAAAACTTTAACATTCTTAATAAGGTTCTGAATGTTAGTGAACACAAGATCTAAGGTGTTGCCTGACTTGTGAGTAGGGGAGCTAATAAGTTGTGTATGTCCGAGGTCATCAGTGAGAAAATTTACAAAGCTGGAATGTAGCTGGCAAGATGACTGACCATCTGGCCAGGAAATCGAAGCTAAATTAAAGTCCCCTACCAGAATGTGTCTTTGCAACTTTCTGGCAGATGCTAACGTAACAAAATGTTTCTTGAAAGATTCAAAATTATCTAAGCCAAGTGTTCCTACTCTATAGAATGTAGATATGCAAAAGTTTCTTCCACACTGAGTCTTAATTATGACTGATAATAATTCAGCTTGAACACTAACCTTTGAGAACTTTAGACTCGAGATATCAATGTCTGTTCTATGGGCAATCAGAACACCACCACCGTTTTTTCTGAATTTCTTGGGCTGGGTTGCATCCACTGGATGCGATCTTAAGGATCGATCAAGCCTAAATACTTTGTATTTGTCAGGGAGCACCTCATTACTGAGAATGGAATTTTTCAGCCATGTCTCGTTTAGAATAATG